ATTATGTCAGACCAGTGGGTGTCAACCCCAAATGCATATCAAAAATATCTATGGAGCATTAAAGCAAAAAAGTATGCATGGCTTACTGAATGAGCATCTCCAGAAATCTGGGAAGGAACTGGGTGTGTATGTATGCTGCAAGGCTGGGACTGAAAACCCTAAGCATTGGCAATATCCACAAGGTCATCAAAGGCACAAAGGAAGTTCCAATGAGGCTGTGGGAGACTTCCCTCTTCAAATCCACCAGGAATGGAACTCAAGTGGCGTTTGAAAGAAATCATGGTAGTTAACACAGATCAATCAAGATCAACTTCTACCTTCACACACCCCTAGAAAAATATTAAAACACAAATAATCCCATCTACCCTCAGGGATAGCACCCAGCTGTTAACGAATTCCAACACATATTCACCCAACAATCATTACTTCATGCCTGCCAAAATGCTATTTTAGCCTCTGATAGAAAAATAATATAGTCCTTCTGCTATGGGAGCACCCATCTGGCAGGGATGACCAGACAGTATTATTGGGTGCCAATAGAAAGGTAGGATCAACCAGTTAGTTGTTCAGGGAAAGAAAACATAACTTTTGGGCTAAATCTTGATGTTGAAAAGATTGACTGGGGGGAAGGGAGAAGGGGGATTCCAAATAAAGGAATTGGCACATACGAATACAAATATTAACTATCCCATTTTATAGTATCCACATGGTCTTTTCTATACTCTAGAAACACTGTATATAAAATATCATTATTACTACTGCCCTAGAGGGTATTACACAAATCTATAACATAAGTAGATGTTGAGGACTTAAAATTAATAATGATCAACACATTTTCAGAAATTATCACAAACATTTAAATAGTGTTATTTCTCCAGAGAAATGCAGACACTCCCATTCTTACAAATTCATAGAGGATTAACTCCATAATGGAAATATTAGTCTATAAAGTTAACTGCAAAGAAATCTTTCACATTTTCAGAAATTATCACAAACATTTAAATAGTGTTATTTCTCCAGAGAAATGCAGACACTCCCATTCTTACAAATTCGTAGAGGATTAACTCCATAATGGAAATATTAGTCTATAAAGTTAACTGCAAAGAAATCTTTCACTTTCACTTATAAAATGAAAGTGGATTAAAAACATAAAACAAGAAAAAGAACTTGCACAAAATAGGGCCATTTTACTCTTAACGATTCTTTATCTGTTCCTACTTAACTTGTGAGAGAGCACTCCTGTGATCTTGTAAAAAGGAATATAGCAGTCAGAAAACATTTCCAGCTGAAGTTGTAGTAAATAAAAATAGGTGAATATGAAGATACAAGGACGCTATCAACAGGAGATTCTTTGGCTCTGAATTGCTCGTTCAGAAAGCTGATCTTTTGGGCAGGCCCCGTGGCTCACTCGGGAGAGTGCGGCGCTAGTAGCGCCGAGGCCGCGGGTTCGGATCCTGTATAGGGATGGCCGGTGTGCTCACTGGCTGAGCGTCTGCAGACCACACTGTGCCGAAAAAATAAATAAATAAATAAAAGAAAGCTGATCTTTCTTGCAGGCATTGTGGAAGAAGACCTTATCTTCTAAACCAATTAAAAGTAGACACCACAGCAGAGAGCCGCGCAATTCTTGGGATAGTTTAGTGCATGATGGGATATGTAGTTTTCAGGGAAGTATGTGCAACAATTTACATTAGGAAAAAACGCCTTCAATTGAAACAAACAATTCTGCTTTAAACTCATAGTTTAGTGGCTCACACTTCTCCAGCAATTCCTACTTTAAATTGTTGCATGACCCCTGTAGTCAAAGCATCACTCAATTTTGACAAGTCCAGTGACACCCCCTCAAAGTTAACAGCATGATTATAATTGGAAAGAGCTGTTTCTAAGAAAAAACATGAGTTCCAAGAGATGTTTAAAGGCTATCTTTTTGTAATTAGTATTGCCAGTTAGCCACAGAAATGCCCTGGACACAAAATCTGTCACAAGCTGAAAACACATCCTTTTGATTCAGGTGGTCTTAACTACAGGACTTCTAGTGTAACCCCTAACAAGTCAGCTGAACCTGAGAAGTGGAGACTTAAGTCAGAGGCAAGTTAACGTTACACAGTAACTTTGTTTTACTGATACTTCTGAATACAGATAGTTTTTAACTAAGGGTCATTGTGCCAGGAGGGGAAAAACTAAGTACTGTGATTAGAATGAATATGCAGAGCTTCCCCAAGCGTTAAGATAACCATTGTTTGAAAACAAAAACACTCAGGTTGACTGAGCCAGAAATCCTATTTGCTCTCCCCCCCCCCAACCGATTTTTATTTCGCGGTAGTTCTATCCTAAGGAATTTACACGCTTATTCAGCTAAGTCATCTGGAAGTGGAATATTTCTCCAACACTGGTTACTTTCTCATTGAAGTCTCCCCAACCGATTTTTATTTCGCGGTAGTTCTATCCTAAGGAATTTACACGCTTACTCAGCTAAGTCATCTGGAAGTGGAATATTTCTCCAACACTGGTTACTTTCTCATTGAAGTCTTTTTTTGTCACTTTTCGGAAATCCTAATTGAAACTGACAATTTGGACAGACTCTACTTTCTTTTTGACAGAGGACTCTGCCGGTGCTGAGAAATAAGTGGTCGGCTTAATGTAGAAATCGTACACCACGCGATGGACAAAATAATTGCCTGTCTCAAGAATGCATTTATGACCATTCTGCAGCCACTGAGTGACCTTGGCTAGAAACCAATGGCCGTGGGGCAAGAATAAAGGAAATATACTGGGGACCCTGGACCTCTGCACTTAGTGGAACGTTCGCTTCCACTATAAGGCTCTGGGATGCCTCGTCTGTAGACTGGAGAACATTAACACTGACTCATCCAGAAACTAAAGATATCTATGAAGGGGAGGAGGGGGATAGTTAAACCCTGTGCAAATAGGAAGTGCCGCAAGAGCACCGAGGTAAGGATGTGGCCCTACGTGAGAGGAGCCTTCGGGTTTTCCTTCTCGGGTCTCGCTCCCAGGGGATCCGCACCGACTCTCGAGGCACCTCCGGCTTCCGGTAATGGGAAATCTGCCGGCCGCAGTCGGGGCCCGCAGGAACTGTGGACGGCGCCGGCGCTGGGTAGGCCCAACCGTTCCCCCGCCCTCGCCCCCGGCCCAACCCGGCCCTCACTTCCCCGACCCGGCAGAGTGGCCTCACCAGGGAGCGAAGAACTCGACGAGCATGAGGCCCGCAGAGCCCGTGTCGGAGACGCGACTCTCGAAGTTGTCGTCCGTGAGTTCCAGCACGTCTGAGGCAGCGGCGAGGCGGGCCGCGGCGAGAAGTAGCGCCACGCC